GAAATTGGTCCGATTCAAAACCTAAAATCAAGTACTTAAAAAAGGGAAAATTTGTGATAAAGGCAAATTTAACTTTTTAGTTTTAACTTTTTAGAATCACAGCAAACAATCAGTGCCAAGAAGATGACACGAAAAAATGATTTTTTTTTTTGAAATACAGCTTCTCTCTAAGAAAACTTTTGGCTAAAGATAGAGATTATAGAGCGTATTGCTCATTTATGCTAGCTTTATCTCATAAAGAATCGTTTTTCTCGTGCAAAAAGTCAGTTGAATTTAAGCTGGAAAAGTTTAAAATAATAATCTTTCAGAAATCTCTAAAATATTAAGGGAAAGTTGCACTCATTTTTTACAAGTAATTTCTTGGAGTTGACTTGTCAACAATAGAACAAAATGTTCTCGAATTGGTGGATTCGTTTTGAAGAAATTTCAGTCAAACCTTTTTCTGAGAACTTTCTTTCCAACCTTTTCACTTTCTGAGAGCTTTCTGCAAACTTTCTGAGAACTTTCTTTCAAAATTAAATGAACCTCGTTTCGAATCTAGTCCTAGTTAGACAGCTGAGAGCACAAAACAATAGTTTTTTTGGAAGAAAAGTTCTTAAACTCTCCTGTTTCCTGCAACAATTTATTCCAAAACTAGAATTTTATTCAACAACAATAGATTTTCTTTTTCTTTTATCCTCTCCGATTATTCCCTCGATTATTGTTCATTCGATTGTTTGTATTCGAATTTACCTAAACTTTTAACTCGTTTTAATATTTCTTTAATAGATTTTAAGATAATCATTTACCTCACAAAATCCACACGATTTCGCACAATAGAATTGAACTTGAGCTCGCGAATAGAGATTCGAATTGCAGAAACCGTTCATCACATACAATTCACAGCTGAAATTTGAGCAATTTGCATACGTTAATATGCAAAATACTCAAATTTTGATGTACAGTATTTTCTCTAATAGTAGTGCATCTTAAGCTTTGCCTAAATTGCTCGAAATCTCGAGAAGCGCTTATCAGAACCTATCGATGTGGGGTCGGAAAATGTAGCTGACGATGAGATCTAGTGAGGGGATTAGAGTGTTGAGCTTCTGTGAAAGCTTGGAAGCCGTAAAATAGTCACCAACTTAGCGGGGTACACTACTATTAGAGAGAATATGGTATATGCTTTATTCAAGATCTAAGCCATGGCTGGTTACGTCAAGCTTCGCCTAATCATAATCATTTTGGACTAGTCTAGCCTGACATAGCCTTGACTTAGCTTGCTTTTTGTATCACCAGAGCTAGTCATAGTTGATCCTGGCTGACTTACAAAACTTTCTAGGCTAGGCCAGGACAAGCCAGTCATCAACAATCATTATTATGAGTGTGATCTGGCTCTGGTCTGGAAATTCGGTTCTAGAATAGCCCTGAAAACTATCTTAGGACTAAATTGTCATAAAACTCACTTATAAAACTATTCAAACGCGAATACCGTATTTTCTCTAATAGTAGCGCCTGTGTGCAGAAAAGTGGCTCTTTTCTGTGAAATCTTAATAAATGTTTTGATTTGAATACCTGATTCTCTTGTCCCGCCTCTAAAAGATCGTTTTTATGATAAAAGGGACGGTGTATTGTCTCTTCGTATTGCTTTTTGTATTGCTATGAAACACTGAACCAACTATTGTTTCTATTCTTTTGTATTTTCTCGCTAGATTAGTATTGTGCTAGATTCGGAATAAATATCTAATAATCATTGCCCCCAGCGGTACTCTCTCACATACTGCACCGCCTAAATTGATCGAAACAATTGCCTAAATTGATCGAAACAATTATGTATTATTAATAGCTGAATATCTTTTTGGGTATTCGGAATTTTTCTGGCTAAATTATAAAGTATTTTGTGTTTTGATGTACTTTTTTGCTCTCTTGTAAACACACGATTTCTAGTGCACTAGTGAAGAGTGCACTTAATCTACCGTACAAATCTAGTAGTGCACCCTGAGCGTCGCCTAAATTCCTCGAAATCTTGAGAACCGCTTATCAGAACCTATCGATGTGGGGTCGGAAAATATAGCTGATGATGAGATCTAGTGGGGGATTTCAGTGTTGAGCTTCTGCAAAAGCTTGGAAACCGGAAAATAGTTATCAACTCGGCTCGCTTGAGTGCACTACTATTAGACTACAAAACGGTACTCAGAATCGGCTAGTCGGTTATGATTTTCGCTAGCAAGCTGTGCAAGAAAAAGTATGAACTTCTATTAGTTTTTGTTCTGAAATCAAATGATCTAAAAAGTATGTCATTTTCAAGAGTCAACTAGAGTCAAAGAATCAACTGTTCCATTTGCAAGTTCACTATTTAAACGAAAAATGCAGATAGATCTGATAATCTGATATACTGTATTTTCTCTAATAGTAGCGCACCTTAAGCGTTGCCTAAATTCCTCGAAATCTTGAGAACCGCTTATCAGAACCTATCGATGTGGGGTCGGAAAATATAGCTGATGATGAGATCTAGTGGGGGATTTCAGTGTTGAGCTTCTGCAAAAGCTTGGAAACCGTAAAATAGTCACCAACTCGGCTCGCTTGGGTGCACTACTATTAGAGAAAATACGGTATTTTGTGTGATCTTGTTTATTCAAAGTCACTTACTTAGGATCTGAGTCGAAACATTGAGCTGATGTTCTCTAAAAGAGTTAAAGTTATTAAAAGCTTTGGTTATTTTCAAACTTTTTGTTATTTTCAAGTTTTTTGAAAAGATCCGTCATAGCTAAATATTAAATTATCACATTTAAATAAGGCTATTATACTTAAAATCTTTTCCTTAATGTAATTTTGAAACTTTTAACTCAATTCAATTAAAACAATTTCAAAAGAAGCCAAAAATACTTTAAAAGCCATACCTGTGCAATCAAAAACACGACAATCAACAAAGAAAAGCTAAATTTTAAAGTTTTAATGAAAAATTCAATAAACTTACCGTAGATTTGAGTCCATTTTTTAAATCTACTTTAAAAATGACACATATTTTTGTCCTTTTTGTACTTGACCTCTTTGTTTACTCATTTTTTCGGTCAGCTTAACCACTTGAGTTGAAAATTTTGTGCAAAAACTGATTTTCTTTTATTTCTTTTTCTTTTCTGCCCACACAACTATTTAAGTTGAAATGTTTACACTGATGAGAAACAAAAAAGAAACGTGAAAAAAGAAAAGATTATAAGAGTGAAAAGATCAAAAGATGGCCAACAAATGATCTCATTTTAAGTGATCTTTTGGCAAAAGATTTGTATTCAATTTGGTTCCTTTTAAAGTAAAAACAATTGTTTAACACGTTCGGGACGGTATTCGGTCTAGAATAGGATATTCAGTCTAGAGTAGCTAGATTACCATATCGATTCTAGATCAGGGTATTTAGTCTAGAATAGGATATTCAGTCTAGAATAGAGTACTCAGTCCTCCTCAAAAACTCAAAAATTTCGTCTTTCGTTTATCGATCATATTTTGGTCCACTTTTCTCCAGGCATCAATTATGGCACATTTCAGAGAAGGCACGTCTTTATAAGTCTTGTTTCTTGCGTAAATGTGACGTACCATGAATCCCCATACATTTTCTTGCAAATTCAAGTCGGGAGAATTGGCAGGCCAGCGCTATAACTTCTCAACTTTTTAAGATAATTTCAAAATGTAAAAAGATTCGATTAGTTCTTTTTGAGGCGGCAATTTTTTCAAAATCTGATTAGAGATTCGGATTCAGCATGAAATTTTACATATAGGAGGGGTATTTCGGGGCTAATAGCTTTGCGAGACAGTCCACGGCCAGTAACGCAAAAAAAAAACGCCTCGTCGCGAATGTGTTAACATAAGTTTGCCGATTAAAAATTGACTTTTCCAACTCGAGAAGAATGCGAATAACTTTAAGGCATATGGACGGCAATTATCAAGTATCAAGTACCAATTATCAAGTTGAATTTGATGTTTAATTTGAACATACAAATACAAAGCGAATGTGTTAACGGATTCTAGAATTTGTATCAGAAATAAAGCTAAATTTAAGGCAAAAAAATGATGTCAAAAAGTTGGGCATAGTCGCTGAAAGAAACGCGAAAGACGGCTCAGTTGCTCAGCGCTTCTTTCACTTTACGGAAAAAGCTTTTATAAATTGCAGACCATATTATTGATATGTTACGTCCGATAGACTTATTCTAGATCTAGATAGACGATAGGACGTTCGATTTTGAGTGAAATCAGATCAAATGTTCGATCTAGAATCAAGCCGATCACTCTAAATATGAGTCTGGATCTGATGTTTGATTTGGAGTGATCGGCTTGATTCTAGATCGAAAGTCTAACCTCACTTTCTCCAGATCGGAAATTTACCCTCGCTTTCTCTAGATCGGACGTCCTATCTAGAAACACTCTACATCGGACGTAAGAGATAAAGTAAAGAATAAAATCTCTGTCGATGTATAACCGACAAGTACCAAAAAATTGAACCTAGATTTTGCAAATATATAAAATAATGTCCTACTGATCAAATGGTGAACCTAAAAGTTGTTGAGGATTGAAAAAAGTATAGTTAGTATAGTGCTAAACGAAAGTATAGTTTTCATGCAAAACGAACGTTTTAATCAATCTTCTTTTGATCTTTGATTACTCCATTCAAATTATAACATTTTAAAATCAATTGAAAAACTTTTTGCTGAACCAAGAAACGAATTTCTCTTTTTTTTTACGAGATTGATTTCACGCATCATTTTGAGGGTTTTTTTCTTCTTTTCTCAAATGAATTCACAACGAAAATCTCTTTACAATTCGCACATATGCTCAAGAAATGCCCATTTTCGTTTACTTCAAGTTTATTTTCTTTTGAATGTGACAAGAAAGACGCGGCTGAGCTCGACCTATTCCAATGAATAGCTGAGTAAGTGACTGAACTTTTTCCTCACACAAATAACATTCATTTTAGTCACTCCAATCAATTTTTGCTGATTTCTGTTTTCTGAAAGTATTGATTTCATTGGTTTATAATGAATGTGGATGGTCGACGAACGCCTTGGACGAGGGATGTCAGTTTAACCTTTGTTTAACTTTGTTTCTAACCAGTTTAACCTTGTTTCTAACCAGTTTAACCTTACCTTTGTTTAACCTTGTTTCTGACCAGTTTAACCTCGTTTCTAACCAGTTTAACCTTGTTTCTAACCAGTTTAACAGTGTTTCTAACCAGTTTGACCTTTGTTTAACCTTGTTTCTAACCAGTTTAACCCTGAAGTTTTCACTGAAATTTACAGAGCTTCGAAAGTATTGAACAGTGAATTCTGTCCATTAAACATATTGAATTCATATCTAGAAATTTGTTTTCGATTTTGATTTACATGGAACAATGGATCTAGAATTTATCTAGACTTTGATCTTCTACTCGTAAACGCTAGATCCATTTGCAAAAAAAGCAAAATTCGTCAAATCTATTAAATTCTTAGACCCTATTAGATTCATAGACTCTTTTAGATTCTTTGATTCTATTAGCTTCTTCAAATCTATTAAACTCTTGTGATTCTTTGATTCTATTAGATTCATAGATTCTATTAGATCCGTAGATTCTATCAGATTCATAGATTATATTAGATTCTTAGAAGTCTATTCGATTCTTTGAATCCATCAGATTCTTAGATTCTATCAGATTCGTAGATTCTATCAGATTCATAGATTCTACTAGCTTCTTCAAATCTATTAAACTCTTGTGGTTCTTTGATTCTATAAGATTCATAGATTCTATTATATTCGTAGATTCTATTAGATTCTTAGAAGTCTATTCGATTCTTTGAATCTATTAGATTCTACTAGATTCTTAGATTCTACTAGATTCTTAGATTCTATTAGATTCTTAGATTCTATTAGATTCATAGATTCTATTAGCTTCTTCAAATCTATTAAACTCTTGTGATTCTTTGATTCCATTAGATTCATAGATTCTATTAGATCCGTAGATTCTATCAGATTCTTAGATTATATTAGATTCTTAGAAGTCTATTCGATTCTTTGAATCCATCAGATTCGTAGATTCTATCAGATTCATAGATTCTATCAGATTCATAGATTCTACTAGCTTCTTCAAATCTATTAAACTCTTGTGGTTCTTTGATTCTATTAGATTCATAGATTCTATAAAATTCATAAATTCTATTAGATCCATAGGTTCTATTAGATCCGTAGATTCTATCAGATTCATAAATTCTATAAGATTCATAAATTCTATTAGATTCTTCAAATCTTACGTTATCTATTAGATTTAACAAGCTGATAGACTCGAATTACAAGTAGTACTTAACTTTTCACTAGATTTCGTCTTAAGCTTGATTTGAAGAATAATCAAATCAAAGATTAGAATGAAGAATAATCAACTGGTAGATCTTGGCGGGCCTGATACTTGAAAATTGACTCTACGACTGTTCCAGAAGCGATTTTTCAAACTAGCGAGTTAAAATATGTCAACTTTAACCGACTACAGTAGCCTCTTGGTCTGACTTGATTTTTGCCAGAAGTTACAGGTATTTAAGTTACAAGCAAAAAACCGGAAGCTCTGGTTTTTTGCCTGTAACTTAAATACCCTCAAATGAAATTCAAAAAGTATTAGCTGACTTAATTTTGTTTTGTAAACAATTGATAGAAAAAGAAATCCCAAAATTTTCACAAAACAATTCTTTTCCAGGGAGCGCCAGCCGTTTTGGCTTCAATATTCTCATTGGTTTTCCTTTTATTACCTTTAATACCAATCATTACTGCTTGTAATGAAGAAAAACATTACTCGAATCGACCGAGATACAAAAGAAGGTAAGGAATTGTGCAAAATAAGAGCAATAAACATAATTTTGTGCACTTTTTTGTGTTAAACTAAAGTGTTCGACAGGATGACAGAGGGTTTCTTTTCGTTTACAGCGCTCTGCAAACTTCTAACGCTCTAAGAAGCGCTTCTAAGAGCTTCTAAGAGCTTCTAAGAGCTTTATGCTTAAAATTCAGCTAATTATTTGTAGTTTTTAAAGGTTAAAACCGTTTTTTCGAAAGCTCTTCTAATGTTTTAGTGCTCTTCTAGTGTTTTTCTGTAACTTTCAAAGATTACTGCAGAATTTTCGGCTATTTTCAGCTTTTCAGCTATCCTTTCAGCTATATCTTGCCAAAAAAAAGTGATTTAAACAATTTCCTAATCAATAAAACTAATATCTAACAAAAATGCACAAAATATTCTTGTAAATGAAGAAGAAAAGTTGAAAGTTTTAGAGAAAGCCAAAAGAATTTTAGATTCATGTCCGGTAGTGCGATGACGGGCGGGAGCCGATCACGGACATACACAAAAAAGGAATACGATGACTGTTTACAACGACAAATGTATCGATGGGCTTTTTATGGGGCATATGTTGCATTGGTGAGTGTTACTTCAGGACGTTCACTTTAACAATTGAATTAATTGAATCAACTGAATCGATACAATCAATTGAATCAACCAAATCAACTGAATCAATTGAATCAATTGAACCAATTGAATCAACTGAATCAACTGAATCAACTGAATCAATTGAATCAATTGAATCCATTGAATCAAATGAATCAACTGAATCAATTGAATCAACTGAATCAAATGAATCAACTGAATCAATTGAACCAATTGAATCAACCAAATCAACTGAATCAATTGAATCAATTGAACCAATTGAATCAATTGAATCAATTGAATCATTTGAATCAATTGAACCAATTGAATCAACAGAATCAACTGAATCAACTGAATCAATTGAACCAAATGAATCAACTGAATCAATTGAACCAATTGAATCAACCAAATCAACTGAATCAATTGAATCAACTGAATCAAATGATCCAATTGAATCAATTGAATCAATTGAATCAATTGAATCAATTGAATCAATTGAACCAATTGAATCAACTGAATCAACTGAATCAAATGAATCAACTGAATCAATTGAACCAATTGAATCAACCAAATCAACTGAATCAATTGAATCAACTGAATCAAATGATCCAATTGAATCAATTGAATCCATTGAATCAAATGAATCAACTGAATCAATTGAATCAATTGAACCAATTGAATCAACTGAATCAACTGAATCAAATGATCCAATTGAATCAATTGAATCAATTGAATCAACTGAATCAAATGAATCAACTGAATCAAATGAATCAACTGAATCAATTGAACCAATTGAACCAATTGAATCAACTGAATCAAATGATCCAATTGAATCAATTGAATCCATTGAATCAAATGAATCAAATGAATCAATTGAATCAATACAATCAATTGAATCAACTGAATCAACCGAATCAATTGAATCATTTGAATCAACTAAATCAACCGAATCAATTGAATCATTTGAATCAACTAAATCAATTGAATCAATTGAATCAATTGAATCAAATGAATCAAATGAATCAATTGAATCAACTGAATCAACTGAATCAATTGAACCAATTGAACCAATTGAATCAATTCATAGAAATCTCTAATCAGAGTTAAGCTTTCTCAAGCTTTTTTTTTCAAAATACATCTATTCACACGAATAATTTGGGACAAACAATACACAAGAACACTTCTAAGCTCTATAATATAGAAAACAAACCTATATATATGGAAAAGGAATGAATAATCGAGAGATTAAACCTCGAGGGATTAAATCGAGGGATTAAACTAAGATACAAAGCTCTTAGCCAGTCGGCCATCTTTACACGAATTTGCGAATGGCTATAAAATTCGATTGAGTTCGGTGAAAGAGCGGATAAAATCTATTGAATAAACGAAAAGGATTAATAGTTCAAATATGGTTGATTAGTCAAATGATGTGCTATTTAAAGCCAAGATTACTGTATTTCTTTATCTAGGTACAATAATATAACCTTATTTGGTTTGGAGACTTTTTAAAACTCGAGCGATTACTTTAAGGAGTGACTTGAATACCGTAATTTCTACTAGATGCTATAGTAAACAAAAAGTTGATACTAAAACCATCAAAATTACTGTAGCATCTGCGTCAGGACATTCTCCAGAGCAGAGTTAGAAAATGATCCTAAATCCTTTAATCTGTGTCTTCAAAATGATCTAAAAGCTCAAATGGCAATATAGGCGAAATTTGTGCTTTTAAAGTACTATTTCTAAACGGTTATCGGACATTTAATACACGCCCCGCCCCTTTGCCATTGCCAATCGAACTTTCACCTCAAATTTCTTGGTGTTAGGCTGTTCGATTTAAATATTTTTGATATCATTGGGTGCGCCAAGTCTTTCTCTATCGATTGGTACAAAAACTATTTCATTTGGACGGCTCAACACCAAGTTATTTGAGTTCAAAGTTGCCAATGGCAAAGGGGCGGAGCGCGTATAAAAGGTCCCGCAATGACCCCGCCCCTTTTCCCATTAGCAATCCAAATTTGAGCCTAAATTTCCTGGTGTTGGGCTGTCCAAATCAAATAGTTTTTGTACCAAACTATAGAGAAAGACTTGGCGCATCCAATGATATCAAAAATATTTAAATTGAACAGCCCAACACCAAGAAATTTGAGCTTGAAGTTGGATTGCTAATGGCAAAAGGGGCGGGGCGCCGATAACCGTTTAGAAATAGTACTTTAAAAGCACAAATATCACCTATATTGCCATTTGATTTGACAACATTTGACTAATCAACCATATTTGAACTATTAATCCTTTTCGTTTATTCAATAGATTTTATCCGCTCTTTCCCTAAACTCAATCGAATTTTTAAGCCGTTCGCAAATTCGTGTAAAGATGGCCGATTGGCTAAGAGCTTTGTATCTTAGTCGAGAGGTTTAATTCCTCGATTATTGACTCTTTTTCCATATATAGGATTGCCAATGAATACCTGATTCTAGACTGAATATTTTAATCTAGACTAAATGCCGTAATCCAGCTAATCTAGACTAAATACCGTAGTCCAGCTAATGCAGACTCATTACCTTATTCTAGACTAAATAGGTGAACCAGCTTGTGGAGTCTCGCACGACACTCCACATTTGGTGCGCAGTCCGGGAATCGAACCCGGGTCGCCCGCGTGGCAGGCGAGCATTCTACCACTGAACCAACTGCGCACCAAATGTGGAGTGTCGTGCGAGAATACCGATAGGGGCAATGATTATTAGATATTTATTCAGAATCTAGAAAGAAAATGCAAAAGAATAGAATCGTTGGTTCAGTGTTTCATAGCAATACAAAAGGCAGTACGAAAGGAATATACGGAAAGAATATGAAAAGTGCCAATGTAAAGTGGGCTCCGTCCCTTTTATCCGTTCCTTTATCTTAAAAGCAATCTTTCAGAGACGGGACAAGAAAAGCAGACATTCAAATCAAAACATTAAATAAGATTTCACAGAAAAGAACCACTTTTCTGCACACAGCTAATCTAGACTGAATACCGTAATCCACTGAATACCGTAATCCAGCTGACTCTAGCCTAATCGCGTAATCTAGACTGACTAATAATTTTAACTAAATACCGTAATCCAGCTAATGTAGAGTGAATACCCTATTCTGGCTTGAATACCCTATTCTATTAGGTTGGCAACTTAATAATGACGCGTCACTACTTAACATGTTTTTTGTAATTTCAAGCGCCGTTTCTTCCCTCTTTTTTGCATATATACAAAGTAAAAGATGTCTGCATAAATAACATTTAGTGCTCCAAATTTGGGATCCGATGAGATCCGGGATTTGCCCAGAAGATGGGAAGAAGTCATAGATACTAATGGAGAATACCTTTCGAATTGAAAGCTCTTCTTTTGTGTTTTTTTTTTTGAAATAAATGATTTGTTACATAAACGCGTCATTATTAAGTTGCCAACCTAATAGCTTGAATACCCAATCTAGACTAAATACCGTAATCCAGTTCATGCAGGGGCGCGTATCAAATGTCCCAAAATCTTTCTAAACAGAGTGCAAGATTTAGTGGATGATCGCTTGTACGATGACATTCATCGCCTATCAAACGATGCGTGCTAGTCAACAATCGAGAACATTGAAAATCGTCGTTGGCAGCGTTCTTCCAATAGCTGTTGTTCTTGGGACCGGTCTTGCAATTGGACTCACATTGGAATCTTTCAATTAATTGGAAATTGATTTGACTGTATTTACAAAATACCATAATCCTTTAAACTTTAGCGTTTTAAATTTTAAAGATACTCAGTAAACAAACGATTTTTATATTACTGTACTTTTCAGTTTACTTGTCGGTTTTTATGTACTTTTCAAGTTACTTTCTTTCTTTCTTACTTTCTTTTATTCAGATACATTTATTTTGCAGCAATACACAATAAAAATGAGATCAAAGTTGGCAGAGACTAGAAAAAAGAAACTAGTAAGTGAAATGGAAATAATTTAAAAAAAAGTATGTACAAAAAATTCTTTTACAAATCACTACAGTATACATCAAGCAAATCAGCATTCAAATTTAAGCCAAGACCAAAATTGAAACCATTTGGAGAATGCGGGGCTTGTTGGGTCCAGTGATGGTGTTCGGTGGGGATATAACAGTCAACGTCCATCTCTTGGAAAGATCGAAATTGTCCGGGAACACGTAGTCGCGATCTGGAATGGAATTGTTGAAACAATAGTTTTGGGTTGGTTTTGGGATGGTTGGGATGGCTTTGGGATGGTTGGGATGGTTTTGGGATGGTTTTGGCTTGATTTTGGGATGGTTTTGGGAAAAGCAGGTCTGGTTTTGGTTTGGTTTTGGTTTAGTGACTTTATTCTTACAAGGGAAGGTCAATTGGGTGTGCTGGCCAAAGCCAAAGCCTAAGCCAAAGCCAAAGCCAAAGCTAAAGTCAAGGCCAAAGCCAAAGCCAAAGCCAAAGCCAAGGCCAAAGCCAAAGCCAAAGCCAAAGCCAAAGCCAAAACCATTCAACGCAGAATTTCACGCTAATCATCATGCTCCTTTTTTTCAAGGCATTAAAACCTTAAAAAAAGAAAAAGAAGACCAGCTACTGGACTCGAACCAGCCACCTGTGAGACTAGAGAGACTTGGGCCCAATTGGGTCCTAACCCACTACCACTTGGCCACCGCTGCAACTCTCAGCTCGCGGAAAAGCAGCTTCTAATGTCGCGGTTTGATTTTTGAACTTTAAACAAATTTTTTAAATAACAAATAACAAAACAAACAAAAAAACAGCGAAATTTTTTGAACAAAACGCTAACTTTAAAAAATTTAAACGGGTATAACTTTTGACAGGGTGCTCCGTAAGAAAAAAGAAAAGCAGCATCGTGATCAGCGTGAAATTCTGCGTCGAATGATCCAGCACATCCAGTTTACCTTAGTACACAGATCTTGATAACTTCAAAGAAAGTTTCAACTAAATTAGAAAAGCTTATAACTTTGAAAATTGAAAGAAGAACTATGATAAAGCCACTTGTCTCATTAGAGTAATCAAATTGTCAAAAAAAAAGTATTTAACCAAAAAAGCTTCACAACTTATTAAAGGATTACTTTTAATCAAAGATTATTATCACAAAACTATAAAAACTATATGAAAGCGCAAACTGTGCTCACTGAAAACGCCTACTTTCCGGCACAGTTTTTCGGTTTAAAATCACTCTAGAATCACTCTAAAAGGTGAAAAATTTGTAAAGATTTCGTAATCTTTCTAGTTTTTCTTTGATCTTCACTCCAAAAACCCACCATAAATCCCCTCCTTTTGCCCATCGTTCCACATATCATTTCCCTCAATATCCACTAAATGTTCAACATGTAAATGTTTATCATCTTGTGGTGGAAGCGAAGAATCACTCGTTGATGCGATCATTTGATTTCCCGTCTCTGAGAATGTCAAAACGATTTCGGGAAGTGGTGGGGAATTCACTAAAAATTCTCTTCATTTTGCGTCATTTTATGGTTATTTAAGCTGATTTTCTCTCTATGTAAACTGTTTTTTTAAAAAAACGAATAAGTTTACAAGTAGTAAGAATAAGTTTACAAGTAGTACAACTAAGTACAGGTTACAAAAGTCTACAAAGAAACTATGTGAAAGTGTATGGCAAAAGTGATTAAAGCTGTTTTCATTGAGCTTACGGATATTAGCAAATAAAAAAAAAGTTTAAATCATTTAATTTCTTAATTGATTTAACAAGTTTTATGATTTTATTGGAATGATTTTCTGATAATCTGATATACCGTATTTTCTCTAATAGTAGTGCACCCAAGTGAGCCGAGTTGGCGACTATTTTACGATTTCCAAGCTTTTGCAGAAGCTCAACACTCTATTCCCTCACTAGATCTCATCGTCAGCTACATTTTCCAACACCACATCGATAGGTTCTGATAAGCGGTTGTCGAGATTTCGAGCAATTTAGGCAACGCTTAAGGTGCGCTACTATTAGAGAAAATACGGTATATCAGATTATCAGATCTATCTCCATTTTTTGTTTAAATAGTGAACTTGCAAACGGAACAGTTGATTCTTTTGACTCTAGTTGACTCTTGAAAATGACATACTTTTTAGACCATTTGATTTCAGAACAAAAACTAATAGAAGTTCATATTTTTTCTTGCACAGTTTGCTAGCGAAAATCATAACCGGTTAGCCGATTCTGAGTACCGTATTGTAATCTAATAGTAGTGCACCCCACCGAGCCGAGTTGATGACTATTTTACGGTTTCAAACCTTTTGCAAAAGCTCTAATCCCCCACTAGATCTCATCGTCCGCTACATTTTCCAACACCACATCGATAGGTTCTGATAAGCGGTTGTCGAGATTTCGAGCAATTTAGGCGCTCAGGCGCTACTATTAGAGAAAATACGGTATTTGCGTTTAAATAGTTTTATAAGTGAGTTTTATGACAATTCAGTCCTAAGATAGTTTCCAGGGCTATTCTAGGACCGAATTTCCAGACCAGAGCTAGATCACACTCATGAGAATGATTGTTCATGACTGGCTGCCTAGCCTAGAAAGTTTTGTAAGTCAGCCAGGATCAACTATGACTAGCTCTGGTGATACAAAAAGCAAGCTAAGTCAAGGCTATGTCAAGGCTAAGTCAATGCCAGGGCTAGACTAGCCCAAAAAGCTTATGATTAGGCCAAGCTTCTTGTTTCCAGTTCTAACATCTCGTTTTATTATGCTTTACAGCTTTACAGCCTGAAATTGATCATTGAAAAACTTTTTGTAACTCTTTAGACTAGTTTAGTTTTATATAATTTCCAAAAATAGTGAGCGAAAGTTTTGAAATAGAGTTTTTCAAAGGAGATTTTCTAACTCAATCAAAAAGCTTGATCTTTATCTTGCTTCAGGACTGGATCAGGCGTCAGGCTTGAAGCTAAAGCTGGTTTCTGATCGGGTACAATACTTAAAAGATACTCTAATTACTTAAAAGAAGACTAACAATTAAGAAAAAGTTATCTAAATAACTTCAGCTATATATTTTGTTGACATTTCCACCGTAAACCCAAATGAAAACGATTATTTGGTGTCATACAAAAGATTAGCTGTCATATTATATTCACGATGAGATCTTCTCTTTCCTTTAAGTCTCTTAAAGATCATTATTTCTCTCATAAGGAATAAATGAAAAGAAAGAGAAAGAAAAAGAAGAGGAAGAAAGAAAAAAGAAAGAAAGAAAATGATTCCCTTCACACGAGAGACCCATGAATAGATGATTAGATCATTCGGAAAAGGGGAAAATTTGGGAGAGTGTGAGGGGAATTAAAGTCAAAATATTGGGTTGATGCATAATTATCCGGACTTCTTTTATAAATGATTTTATTTAACAAAAAATAACATAAATAGTTAGAAAAATATGTTTAATTGATTATTCTGGAGCATATTCACCGCCTACATCAATAATTGATTGCCATTTGCTTGGAAGACGATCGATTCCACGAGCGAAGAATAAACGATCTTTGGAGGCAATCCACGCTTTAACATCGTCTATCAAGTCATCCAAATCGTTGTAGATCTTATTTGTTTGCCAATTTTTGAGCGATCGATTGACGTGGTAGTCCGTTGGGGCTTCTCCAGTTCTTTGAGATCGCGAAACGACTCTGCGGCAGACCATCCCTTTTCGAAGTGGTAGAGCATGATATGGCGAAGATGGATATGATTGTCGACACGCATTTTGTTCACTAAAGAATAACGAATATTTTAAAAAAAGAAATAGACAAAAAGCTTTCAAAACAAAAAAGATACAAGCACGCAAAAAGAAGTCCGGATAATTATGCATCAACCCAATATATTAGTATGCACATTAAATTAAGCTTTGAAAAAAGGATTTAGTCATTCTAAAGGATGATTGTGCTTGGGCTCTGGTCTGACAAATCGGCAAAAAATGGCAACTCACTCTTTAGTTTAAAGTTTAAATATTTACAATTTTAGATAGTTTTGGGTTTTCTATAGAGAATGACTCTTTAGAATAGCACGTACTGTCTCATAAGAACATCCACCTTTCAGCATACCGTTGTTCGAGTTATTAAGCTTGCACAAACAAGAAATCTCATAATAGATCGTTAAAGTCAAGAATTTTTCAAGATCAGAGTACTTCTTATGGATTAAACAAACAGTAAAACTAGGCCAGGGCCCAAGCAGAGCTTTTGATCTGACAAGACTTGACATCTTGTCAAGTCTTGTCAGATTAACCCACTGATTATGAATTCAGTATTGAGTATTCAGTATTGGGTATTCAGTATATATTCAGTATTCAGTAATTCATGAATTCATATTCAATTTGAGCTTTATCTCAAAACAAGGGTCAAAAATAAGAGTCCCAAAAAAATAAGGGTCCGAAAAAAATAAGGGTCTGAAAAAAATAAGGGTCCAAACTCTGAAACTCATTTTTTTAGTTACTCAAATCTTAACCATAAGTATATTTTTGAAGAACTGAATGAAGCTGAATGAAGATGAGTTTTAATGAAGAATTTACCATCAATTGATACGTCTTCTACTGTTTTAAGATGAGCTGAAATTGAATGAGAAGTTTTCTTCATTGAAGGGATTTTTATTGAGAAACAAAACTTTTCGGTCGCATTTAAACGTGAAAAAAACCCTTTCTTTTATCGAGATAAAGCCAAGTTTCTTTAAAGAAATTACTTTAAAAACCAAAAAACCTCACCTTCATTCAGCGTCGGATCACTTGAAGTAATTGAGATCTTCGAGGGAGAATCAGAAAGTGAAGAAGTGCACAAACGTTTACTGTGAATCTCCATAAAGTCATCTAAATTTAGAAAAATATCAGAAAGATTGTTAATAATTTAATTTGCTTAAATGAATATCAAGTAATCTATAAATTCAATAAATTCAAACATTTACCATTTTGAAAAGTTCTTTTTCTTTCGATCATGTAGGATTTGGTGATTTCATGAGAAGGAAAAGAGTTCGCTGGATCAATTTCCGAATGAGATTGATTACTGGAATTGTTCAAGTTAAAGAGTGGAATGAACAATTGAATAACTTCTTTGAACATTATCCAGGATAACCACGAATTCTATCAACAACTCTTTAGAAAAGTATCTGACAAATGCCTCATTTATTTCACAAGTGTTAAGTATTATATATAGAATTATAGCTCTAATTCTTGGCTACATTTAGCTATTAAAAACTTCTCAATCGGATGTATGCAACTTATTTTACAAGCGCTTGAATGAGCGCTAATCGACAACTCTCCATCTCCGTCTTTTGGTCGAAGTATCTGGTAAATGCCTCATTTATTTTAAAAGTGCCAAGTGTTATGTATAGAATTATAGCTCTAATTCTTGGCTACATTTAGCTATTAAAAACTTCTCAATCGGATGTATGCAACTCATTTTACAAGCGCTTGAATGAGAGCTGGTCGACATTTCTCCAACGAATCTGTCATTTAGTCGCTTTTCTTTATTAAAAATCCCATTGGACAAGCTTTTTTAGTAAAATTTTTGGTAATTTTGAACAAAAACATTATTTTCAACAAATTTATAGCACCAGAATATCGAAAAAAACTCAATTTTTCTCTTTGACAGCTCCTCTAACTTGACATCAACTTAAATTTTGAACCGAAGACAGTTAAGTGTGATTCTTAATCTTATTAATTCATTTTAAACGCTATTTTTGCATTAAAGAAATATTGAAAAGCTTTTCTTAACAATTTTTAAGAGAGAAAATCGACGAAAAGATGGAGATGGAGAGTTGTCGACTAGCGCTCATTCAAGCGCTTGTAAAATGAGTTGCATACATCCGATTGAAAAGTTTTTAGTAGCTAAATGTAGCCAAGAATTAGAGCTATAATTCTATGTATAACACTTAACACTTGTGAAATAAATGAGGCTAGAAGTTGTTGATAGAGTTGGCGGTGATCGATTTTTCGCTGAAAACTCACCCAACTAACGCCCAATAATGTCCTTTATTCTTTCCACTTCCTTCTTTCGGAATTTTTTCAAAAGATGGATTCAACGAGAGATTGTGACGGATCGAGTTCTGAAATTTTGCATTTAAAAAGATGATAACAGATGAGATTTAATGTCAATTGTTAAAATGGAATTTAAAAATTAAACTGATCAGCGGAAAAGACTTTCCTAAACTGATCAATTCCATAAAAATCAAAGAAATTTTCATTTTCATGTTAGATTTTCAAATTTTGAACTCATAGAGACCAAGAATCTCGTTCAATTACTCAATAAATCTGTTTTTAGGTCAGAAAAGCTTTCAAAAGTCTTGAATAAGTTCAACTTTCGGAAAAGTGAAAACAATCCACCAATAACAATGATTGTTTTGCTATGGGATTTGGTTAATTAACCCAATTCTCTTGGGCTTAAGTTTGTCTTTCAAAATTTGACAAGGAAATGGAAACAAGTCAAAAAAAACAGGTAATGAAACGTACGTGAGTTTTCTAGATAACAAAAGGAGATTAAATTGAATTGGATTGTAATTGAATTCTGGATAATTGAATGTAATTGAACTCTGAATTCTGAATTCTGAATTCAATAATTCAGAATAACTAAACCGACCTTCCAACTCTGATTCTCTCCTCGATAATAGGCGAAATTCTCCTGCGTCCACTGGTAGATCTCGGAGAGAGTTAACTGAAATTTCATTTCATTTATTTAAAGCGAAAATAGAATTACTTTTAAATATCAAAAAATGAAATGAAACACGCGATTTCTAGCTTGAGAATTTAAAAGAAAAAATTTAAAATTCCGAAAAATTGAGGGTGGCTTTTTTTAAGAAATTTTGATGAGTTTAAAAGTCTTTCTTTCTTTCCTTTCTATCAAAAAATAGCTGAAATTCAGGGCTATTTTTTGATACCTAAACGAGTATTGTAGCATAAACCAGCGTCGAGAAAAACGCGTCTAAAGCTAGACTACCGTATTTATTCTAATAAACGCCGCCCCCCCCCCCTCGACCAACTTCAGATGCCTCGTTCTCAGTCCCATTTTGAGATACTTTTATGTTTAATATACCAAAAGATTGAAGACATTAAGGACTATCTTTTCGTATATTAAATATATAAATAGCTCAAAATGGGACTGAGAACGAGGCATCTAAAGTTGGTCGAGGGGATCCTCTAATAAATGCCCGCTCGACCAACTTTAGACGCCCCGTTCTCAGTCCCATTTTGAGATATTTATATATTTAATATACGAAAAGATAGTCCTTAATGCTTTCTATCTTTTGGTTTATTAAACATAAAAATATCTCAAAATGGGACTGAGAACGAGGCGTCTTTTTCGTCTTTCAGGGCTTTTTTTTGATACCTAAGCGAGCATTGTAGCTTAAACCAGTGTCGAGAAAAACTCGTTCAAGGATTCTTTCAAAATTGAAAGTTAATCTAGATGCAAATTAGATGCAAATTTATTGTTTTTCCTTAAGAAATTAGAATCAAATGCAAATGTAAACTGATTAGTTTAAGTTAAAAAGTAAAAGAAAACACAAGTTTTTTTTACGAGTTTCACAGAGTTGATTAACTAAACCCGAGAAAAGAAACAAAGAGAAAAATTGGTCAAATGTCAAATGACTTAAAGTAGAGGGGTGATTTCCCCGTTAAAATCAAGAAAAACCCACCGATTCTATTCTTGATTTATAGGTTTTAAGTTTAAATTTGTTTTTAAAACTTAAATTTAATGATATTTATGGAAAAATTGATCAAATGACATAAAGTAGAGGGTGGATGAATGAAAAAAAGTTTTAAAAACACCTGTTTTCGTAAAATTTTCCCTTTTTTCAATGATTTGATTTAGTTTTTGATGATAGAAATGTGATTAAAAGGGAAATCACCTGTAAAAGACACAAGATTCACATGAATGAAAGAGGAAAAAGCTTTTTTTCTGAGATCATTTTGATGTACTTTTAAGTGCGATTTGCTAGTTGTCAAAAATGTGAAAAATCTATGATTAATTGAAGGAATGGGTCATGGTAAAGTCGCAATTTTTAGTCCAATAGAAAACTGGCTGACTTACAAAACTTTCTAGGCTAGGTGAGGACAAGCCATGATGAACAATCATTCTCATGAGTGTGATCTGGCTCTGGTCTTGAAATTCGATCCTAGAATAGCCCTGGAAACTATCTTAGGACTGAATTGTCACAAAACTCACTTATAAAACTATTCAAACAAACGCGAATACCTCATTTTCTCTAATAGTAGCGCCTGAGCGCCTAAATTGCTCGAAATCTCGAGAAGCGCTTATCAGAACCTATCGATGTGGGGTTGGAAAATGTAGCTAACGATGAGATCTAGTAAGGGATTTGAGTGTTGAGCTTCTCTGAAAGCTTGGAAACCGTAAAATAGTCATCAACTCAGCCAGGTGCACTACTATTATAGAAAATGCTTTATTCAAGGTCTAAGCGATGGCTGGTTACGTCAAACTTGGCCTAATCATAAGCTTTTTGGACTAATCTAGCCCTGGCCTTGACTTAGCTTTGACTTAGCTTGCTTTTTGTATCACCAGAGCTAGTCATAGTTGATCCTGGCTGACTTACAAAACTTTCTAGGCTAGGCCAGGACAAGCCAGTCATGAACAATCATTCTCATGAGTGTGATCTCGCTCTGGTCTTGAAATTCGGTCCTAGAATAGCCCTGGAAACTATCTTAGGACTGAATTGTCACAAAACTCACTTATAAAACTATTCAAACAAACGCGAATACCTCATTTTCTCTAATAGTTCGTTCACTTATCTAGTTTTGAATCATTTTTATTTCATTATCGATTCTCAAAAGGCAAACTGAAGCCCAAGAGAATTGATTTAATTACCCAAAACAAAAAGATGATTGCTATTTATGGATAACTGGATTGTTTTCAGTTTTCCAAAAGATGAACTTATTCAGGAGTTTAGAAAAAAGTTTAGAAAAAAACTTTTGATGATAATGAAGCTGGACTTTGAGTCCAGCTTCCAGCTTTGAGTCCAGCTTCTAGCTTTGAGTCCAGCTTCCAGCTTTGAGTCCAGCTTCCAGCTTTGAGTCCAGCTTCCAGCTTTGAGTCCAGCTTCCAGCTTTGAGTCCAGCTTCCAGCTTTGAGTCCAGCTTCCAGCTTTGAGTCCAGCTTCCAGCTTTGAGTCCAGCTTCCAGCTTTGAGTCCAGCTTCCAGCTTTGAGTCCAGCTTCCAGCTTTGAGTCCAGCTTCCAGCTTTGAGTCCAGCTTCCAGCTTTGAGTCCAGCTTCCAGCTTTGAGTCCAGCTTCCAGCTTTGAGTCCAGCTTCCAGCTTTGAGTCCAGCTTCCAGCTTTGAGTCCAGCTTCCAGCTTTGAGTCCAGCTTCCAGCTTTGAGTCCAGCTTCTAGCTTTGAGTTCAGCTTTGAGTCCAGCTTCCAGCTTTGAGTCCAGCTTCCAGCTTTGAGTCCAGCTTCCAGCTTTGAGTCCAGACTCAAAGTCTTTACAAAGTTTAAATCAATTTTATAACTTTTCCATAAAAACTATTGGTTCTAAATGAACAACAGCTAGTCCAAAAAGAAAAACTTTTCAATTTTACAAATTTCTGATTGATAAATTTGTCATAAAGCAATTGGATGAAGGTAATATGAGAAAATCTTGAAAAATTTCGTTTACCTAATTGTAGTCATTAATCCAAATACAAAATCCTTTAAAAAAACCTATAAAACACCCGGAAGTTATAAAGAAAAACACGTTTTACAAAGAAAATCAGAAATTCTCAAACGTTTCCTTTAATCTAATGCAAAAAACAAAGAAAAGAGTCGAGTTGGGATTAAAAAAGTGAATCAGAAAAACTTTCTATTAACCGATTAAATGATTATTCAAAGATTTGTAGGTGAAATCCAGAGAATCCATAAATTTCTAAACTTCTTGCGTCATTCCCGGCTTTGCGGGACTAATTTGAGTGAAATGGGCGGATTTTTTGTTGTCTCCATTTGTCTCCGGATTAAAGAAATTCAATTTTGAACTGTTTTTGAATCAATTAAATGAGTTGAAAGGTGGAGGAAACACTTGAAAAAAGAAAGAAGACCTAGAAGAAATTGTTTTGTTGTAAAAGTTGGATACGGTGAAGATAAAATTAGAGAAGACCTATTTTTCTAATTGTTAAACAAACTTCTAACTATTTCTAACAATTACTAATTGATTAAAAGTAATTAACAAGGGGAGTGGGACAAATGCGACCTTTTTTTTGCTCATCCGGACATTTACGCACCTTTTTTTCCGCACCTTTCCCATTAGCGCACCTTTTTTCGCGTTTTAAAAAGCTTAAAAAGCTAAAAAAGCTCTAAAAAGCTAATATTAACCAATTTCTATTCCAAAAGTTGTTTTTCTAGGTAATTTTAGGGCGTAGAATCGAAATTTTGACATATCAGAGCTTGTGGAAACAAACGGACGGGGTTATACAAAGAGAAAACACAATTTCCTTTCTGTACAATTTTCTGTAATTTGATCTAGCCGTTTTGTCTTTCAAATTTGTCTTTCAAATTGCTTCCACACGCTCTGATATGTCAAAATTTCGATTCTACGCCCTAAAATTACCTAGAAAAACAACCTTTGGATGTCTCAAGGATGATGAACACTCTCGTCGACCTCAAGCGGTAGACAACGATACTTTGACGGCTGCAATCGAATCGGATTCATGTCAAACGACGCGTGAACTTGCTCAACAGTTTCTATGTTCAAATTCTACCATATCAGAGCTTGTGGAAACAAACGGACGGAGTTATACAAAGAGAAAAATCGACAATTTTCTATAATTTGATCTAGCCGTTTGAAAGACAAATTTATCTTGCAAATTTGTCTTTCAAATTTGGTTCCACAAGCTCTGTTATGTCAAAATTTGAATTCGACACCCTCAAATTACCTAGAAAAACAAGAAAAACAACTTTTGCAATAGAAATTGGTTAATATTAGCTTTTTAGAGCTTTTTTAGCTTTTTAAGCTTTTTAAAACGCGAAAAAGGTGCGCTAATGGGCAAGGTGCGGAAATAAAATGTGCGCAAATGTCGGTGCGCAAAAAAAGGTCGCATTTGTCCCAAGCCCGTCATTTTTTTTGCAATAATTTTTGCTTAAAGTACGGTAATCTTTTCCCCAAGTGTGCCTTTTTAAAAAACGCATTACTCGCGAGGAACACACTCTAGTCATATCACAATGTGCTTATGTTTTTTTTTTTGCAAAAACTTTTTGCTTTTTCATAATATTTGTATTGTTTCAGCTCGAAAAAGATGGATGACGAGAAAATTCAAAAACAGGGCTCCCATATTCTTTGAAATTCAAACTAAAGAAGAAAGCTATGAAATGCTATCGGAATATTTGGGGTCTATCCCAAAACAGTGCCGCCAAAATAGCGCCGACCAAAACAACGCCGACCAAAACAGCGCCAATGAAAAACGCCCAAAAAGAGCGCCGATGCAAAACAAAGTTTTTTTTCTTTTACAATGTACACTCATTTTTTTTATTAGCAGCTATTTAAAAATAACATGACCAACAACAATAAACGATAACAATTAAACGATGCATAAAAACCATTAAAATAGCATCAAATTAATAGTCCAAGAGACTCTGAAACATCATAACACTAGCGATGATGAACATAAACGGCTAGAGCTTTCAAGTGATCCGTAGTAGAAATAAAAAGTTAGTGAAAACGTTAAAAACAGGCCGTAAAAGGAAA